CTTTCCATGGCTTTGTTTGGAGTGTCAAGGTATATTTTTAGGCAGCTTTAAAATGCAAAGAAAAGAAAGTCATGCAAGTATTCTGAGGTGATAGAAGGGTGATTGGGGGGTAGGGATTGGTGTTGTAGTAATCTAGCAGCTGATAACGTCTATAAATATTGAGAGGAAAATTCTAGCTCTCAGATTAGAATAAATGAATATAAGTATTCCTTTATAATGAGAAAAAGAGTGCTAAATCCTACTAAGAGCAGTAATATGCTTCTGAAACAAAGCAAAGAGCTTTCCACATTCTGGAGGCCTGGAAACTTCCAAACTTTCTCTAGCAGTTTAAAATAATAAATCTCGGGGGGGGGGGGGGGAACGGGGACGGAATGTATCAAAATAAGTAAATACCCAAACCCAAGGTGGCCTGAGTACAGCCAGGCTATCTATTGGATGAAACGTTAAGGAAATAATTTAACAGTATAATGTAGTAAATTTGGTAGGTTTTTATTGCTTTCAGATCACTGAGCTGAGAAGCAAACAGAATGAAAACATTCTGAGTTTGTTCCAAAGCTGATCCTTAAAAATGACCTTGAAGAAAAATCTATTATCCTTTGCCTTTATCTCTGTAAAATGTGATAAACACTACTTAGGCATTATATTTCCATCTTGGGACAGGACTCCGAGTAGAAAACAACAAAACAGTATAACCACCTTTGTTGAATTCCTGAAATCAGCCCTCTCACCCTCCATGCCCCACAAAAACCCACGAACAACTACCCTAAACCTTCAAAGCCTGTCAAGGTCTGACTTTTAAAGGCCTCATCCTACCTCAGCTGACTTTCATTTTATCCACCTAAGGCAATTGTATTCAGCTGCATACATGTCCTTGGCAGCTATTAACTATTTGACTAGGGAGCCCTGTGAGAGGTTCAGCCCGTTGTGCAATCCAAATGGGTTGCTTCACTTGAAAGGAACAATCATTTTCTTTCCTTCCTTTATTTCCTGTAGACGTTATCTTTACTGAATAAAAATTGTTTCCCCTTTTGCAGTTAAAAGCTTCACAATTGGATTGTGCAACTGAACACAACTTCAACTTCTGAGTACTGCTGAATTTTCACATCTGTAATGTAATATATTTATTTTCAAGGCACTGTTTTCTGAAGTTCACATCTGCCGTTCAAGGAAATACAACATAAAACAGGAGGAGGAGGAGAAGTCAAAGAGTGTCAAAGATGCAGCAGTCACTATTAGCGTCCGGATTTTCTGATTCTGGCCTACATAGCCACATCTACAAATGTCTCAAAATTTTGTGGCTTATCTATTTCACCATTTTACAGCTGAATTATTAAAAAAGACTAACTAAATGTCATTTCAAAAACACAGCTGTCGAGTTTGAAACTAAGACAGAAGATAATTGAGCACAGTGCTGCAGAAAATAGAGGTAAAGAAAATGAGTACTGTTCAATAACTAGAGGTTTCAGTCTTATTTACAAGTAGTACGGTAAAAATACTATATTTCAATAAAACTGACCTAAAGTATACATTTAGATTTTTAAGCTTCACTTCAATAACTGTATTGTGCTACTAAGTGTCAGACAGTTTTGTCACGTTTTACATTGTTTATAATCCACACACACCCCCATTTCTCAAAGCAAAAATGTTTGGATACCACCATAAGAAGTGAATGCAGAAGTACATTTTGAAAGTAGAATTCAAAATATCAAATATCTGTACTTAAAAGCGAATATTGAAAAAAGATATTCCAGTAAATAGATTTTATGGAGGCATCAGTGACCATTAACTCCTCATGCATGTGGCTCATGCTGTCAGCCAGAATGTATTAGTGATACTTGTAAATGGTGTCTGTGAATATATAGACCACTTGTGCATCTGCTATAAAGCATCTCAGCTTCACTTACCAGAAGGTTTTCTAAAGCTTCATCCATTTTGGAGGCTTCAAGAGAAATAGCTTTTATTAATCACATGCTAAATTAAAGCTACAGGCAGCCTTTATTTATGTTAGCACAAGATTTTTTCAGTGGATATATCTTTATTTCATTGCATTGCACTTTCAAAGAACTAATCCTTAAGAAGAACAAACCCTCTAAGGTTCAGCTTGAAACTAGGATTGTATACCAACTTTTGAAAGAGGGTGAAAGCCTTCAGTTTCAACTGTAAATATTAAGGCTACAGCTGTGCCCACAACCTGCATTTGGAAGGCAGAAAGTTTACAAGCACAAAATCTCCCCTTCAAGAAAGGCAGCCCGGAACTGAAACCACAAACAAAGCAAAAGAGTAAACCTTTTGAGATGCATGCATACAGTTTCACCGCCACCAGTCTCCTTCCCATGCACACACTGCTTTGAGTGGTTCGATAAGGACCAGCTTTCCTCACCTGCAGAATTTCAGGGGAAACCACACAGTGGCAGTACTGTGAACGTAAATGCCGTGCTCTATTGCGCAGCAAGGTAACAAGCTTTTAAGAACTAAAATACAGTTTCCCATGCTTGGTTACAGTTAAGTTCACTGCTACATTATACAGAAAGCATCCAGGTTTCTATTGCTCTAACAGTGGGAGAAAAACATGCAGTCAACATGTAATTTATTTCCTTGTCATTTTAGTATCCAGAGGCTTCAGACACTGTTAGTCACACATTTCACTCCAGGCTTCTATTTTCCCTTCATTTTTATCCACTCCAATTTCCTCTATTCAGATTCATTTTTGAGGATCAGCCTTATTGTAAACTTGGAATTCTTCACCACAATAAAAGGGAAGGAAAGCAAACAGAAGGAGCATCCCCCCTACAAACATATATGTGCACACACAAGCCAGACATGTACAATTTATCTGAGCTACTGGTTTCTATACTTTCATAGTACACAGATACAAGTTGATGAGTATTAGAAATGACAAATCTAGAATGCTCTGTTCATTTTAACTGTACCCTGAGACTCCTGTAAAAGAGGACAGCCACACAGATCACAGATGCTAACTTCTGGTCTACAGGTGTCTCACATAAGGGGTGGGGGGAACACAGTAGAATAAGTCTGAGAGAACTCTCAGTAGATCCCCCAGTTACAGAAAAGCACAACACATATGACATGCTGCTTTAAGACACCTTGAATATTGACATGCACTCTACCCTTTGTACCCTCCTTCTTTACCCTCACTTTGGTGAGCCTTTCAGACTGATGTTCAAACATCTAGACCCATGCTTACTCATAGCAATAATGGCATGAAAGCAGTTATATCTGTTAAACATTTTCAGGAGAAAAGCTACTGTTTTCTTCTGTGCATCTGATGCCTAATAGCTTTTCTCCCCTTGTTTCTCTGCCCTGAGTAAGAGTCTTAGTTTGCAACTGCACAACGGTGGAAATTTCCTCCAGGTGATCATTCTCAGTGTACGATTAAAGGCAAAGATTGCATTTAATACACTGGTTTAAAAGCCTATGTGTTTCTGAGACAGAAATTAACAGTTAACATAATCATATACACTCGCAGAGCAGGACATAAAATGCAAGGCTTTCCTTTTTTCCCCCAACTTGTACAGAAAACTATATTTATAACCACAATTCCCACCTAAATCAACTCCTCCTTCATTTCACCAGGTGCACGAACAGTATTTCTGCTTTCTTCCTCCTTTTAAAGCAAGTACCAGACTTTTGCCTGCAGGGGTTAACACCCAGTGAATGTGAATATGTTTCCTCCCCTGCTTACCTTGACTTAGTTTGCTTTTAGCTACAGAAGCTGCTCCTGAAGGTAAAGACCTTCTAACTGCACCTGCAGCCTCACTTTTCCCCTTGCTGAGTCATTCCTCAAGTTCACATAGCCCAAACAAGCTAAACATTTTCCAAGCAGGATTTGCACCACAATCCCTTCCGCCAGCACCCCCAGCAACAGTCACAGCCCCCCAGGAGAGCCCCAGGAATTATGTTTAATAAGAAAAACTACACACAGACACCCACATGCTGCATGACTCCCCCTCATTGACTGAATGACATTTAAAAGGCAAATATAAGAGCATTAAACTATGCAATAGAGCAGCAGATGGGGGAATTTTTTTTCCTTATCAAAGCTAAATTATTGTATCACTGCTGGTCACAAAGCTGTGAGGCACTGGTGCTTTTTAACTACACCGAGAAAAATATTAGGAGAGAATTTTATCAAATATTAAAAGCATGGTAAATTATTTTAACTTGGATATCCCTCTATTTTATGACAAATCTATCCTTTTAAGTTAAAATCTCTCTTTATCTTGAGCTGCAATGGCCTTTCCTATAAATTTGCTGAAGGGTATCACACATTTCCAATAAGCTTTTGAAATATTCTTCATAGAATGAATACACTGCTCTTTTACAGCACCTGAAAAAGGCTGAACAATGATGAAGTCTTCAAACAAAAACCTAACACAAACACTATTTTCTTCCTCAAGAGCTGTTCCCAATTTTGGAAGTCACTAATTCTGCTATTTGAAATCAATTCCCTAATAAATTTACAGCTAATCCCTAATCAAACCTAATTCTTGAGTTACTGATAGGACACTTTCTTTTCATTATTGTGCTAGTCTTGGCATAGTTCCTTGAGCCACACTGTGGGCAAAGGACACTAGAGCAAACACCCACACCTGTAGGCACCTCCAAAAGAACAGGGCACATCAGCAAACCTGGGTTCTCTTGTCACCAGCACTCCCCACCATTTTCTCTCCAGACTTGCAAGCATTGAGGAGGGGTGGCTGGGCAAGAGCAGGGAACAGGAAAAAAGAGGGAATTAAATTGGAAATTACAGAAGGCAGAGCCTGAGTGGCACAAGGGAGTACAGGCCCCCTAGGGCAGCCCTACAAGCCAAGTCCTCCTCAGCCTAGGTCCACACAGGGCCTCTTGCTTCAAACAGAGAAGCCCAGCTGAAATAAGTATTTTATAGGTTTTCCTCCACACTATTTAACAACAGCCATGCCCACCCCACTGTTAAAAGATACAATAAGTTAAACAGATCTCATGCTGTAACAAGCCCTTACCAGCCAGTATGAAGAACTCATGTCCTGCCTCACACCCTCCAACCTGCTGTATGGGAAAGACACATACCTACAGAACAGCCTTTTTTAATTACCTTCACACCTGTAGCAAATCAAACACAATGTCCTGACGATGGGCACCTGCACCTCAGTTGCACAGCTCACCTGCAGCCCATCTGCACAACTGTGCTACAGTAAGCACAGGACCTGGGGGCTCCATTATAGCTACTAGAGAGTCTCTCCATCCTGGCTGCCTTGTGTCCTGAGATCTTAGGCAGATAAACCCCCTAAATACCACCAATAGATCTACAAAGTGGCAGAAAGGAAATATGCAAAGAAACCCTGATGTCTGAGAGCAGTAATGAAGGTGCTGTATTGTGCAAACCATACTAAAGTCGTGGTTTCCAAAGGGATGATATTCCAGCTGAGGATCAGCCTCCTTGCCCAGCATAGCCCTTCCGCAGCAGCATTCTTGTTTTCCAGAGGCAGTGACCTGTCAGCAAAGCTGCCAGCTTTCCACTGAGAGCCTGGAGCCTCACCTTTCCATTTCCCAAAGCATCTGACAGCTGGTTATCCTTGTGCTGCCTGAGCAGTACTAGACAGAAAGATTGGAATTAGTATTTGCTGCCAAAAAATATTGGATACTTTCTAATCACACTAGGAGAGCTCTTGCTAGGTTTTCAATCTCAGAGATGCTTAATATAGTGAAGGAAGATGAAGTTTCACTTTCAAGCTAGAATTCAATAATCCTACTTGAAGCAGTTGAAAAAAAAACCCCAAACTTTAGCCACTGCCTCAGCATCTATAGATGCAGGAATGATTTTGTCATTAAATTTTAATTCTCTCATATAGAAGTAAATTCATAACTCAACCTTTGTAATCATAGCATAAAAATTAGGTTTTTATATTTTGGGTTTATATGTAACTGCCGAATCCCATGAGGCAAAGTTCAAGATACAGCACCTATTATTTTAATGTTCTGTTCCTGCATTATCACCTGCCATACTTATTTACTGCTTATTTCCTCTACAATTCTCAATTTCCACAGTAGAGCCAAATGTTTTTGTCTTCTATTTTATGTTCTATTAAAAGAGAAATTGAACTCATTGCTTTGGCTTTTACCATGGCACTTCAAATATAAGGCAAGAGCCTGATAACAGTCTCACTTTTATCACAAGTTCAAAATGAATAGTTTCCATTACTTTTTCCTCTGCACTAAATATTGTTTCTCCACAGAAGATTAATGAAAAAGTTGTCATTAATGATTCAAATAAACATTTAAAAATATTAGGATGGATATTTCAGCCCTAACTTTACTTAGAGTTCTAGTTCCGATATATTGCACATCCAAAGCTTTTATGACATATGTAAATTTAAACAGCACTATGTATTTTTAAAATCATATGTTGAAAGATCTTTAAAGTTGCAAGGCTAGGTGAAGGAAAGGCAAAATTTAACCTGACTGTGTTGCGTAGCTGTGCACTCTCAATTATATTATGTCATAGGTTATTACATCTTGTTAAATGCAACTTGTCTAGCACTCTTCAGACCATTAACACATTCTTAAGGAGATGTTGCATTTTCTGATTACAGTTTTTGGCTCTATTTGTGTAGTCTTGTGTTAACAGTCTGATTTTCAAGTACATTTCTTGGTGACACTCAGCTTTGTCTGTGTAGGGCTCTTACTACTAAGTACTTACGGCTGATAAATGCCATTCTTAACAGAGGTGATTTTCATTCTGCTTCGCTCCATTAGTTCAAAGTACTAAATTGCAATGAAAAGCTGCAATGTCCTCTTGGTAGTTTGACTCTGCTTTGATTTCAGTGCTGCCCATATTTATCTAACTTACAGACTCATTTGGAGGAAAAAAGCCTCAATTTTATATACTTTTTTTAAGCCTGCCAAGGTTAGGGACCCAGTTCTGTGAACACTTTTCATGCAATCAGTTCCACCAAATGGCCATCACCTGAGGAAAGAGAATGACCTGTTTCGGGATGGGATGTAATGCACAACTCTGGTCATATTTTGCAGCCATTAAACTCAATACCATGGAGTGTAGTGGGAAAAACCTACAATTCAGTTGTTTTAAACTGCCACAAAACCTCCCAACCGCAGATTTCACTGTGATTTGCACTGGTGATGGGGGAATTATTTTCAGGCAACTGCACTTTTTAAAGATTTTGAATTTCTCATCAGCACCCCAGTAATTAAGTATTTATAGATGACAAAAATACACCTAGCAGGAACAAACCCATTTGTTTCCTTTGTGCTTCAAACCTTTCATGAATAAAGTAGTACCAAGGGTAACCTTTCCTGAATACAACCTTAGGGATCACCGAGTGCCCTCAATCAATGCAGGGAACTCATGTTGACAGAGTATATGGGAAACAGATTGAGGTATTAAAGCACATAGCCTCTGGTGTTTTAGATGTAAATACTATAACCATCAAATATTTAGACTCTTATGTAAGCAGTTTGTCATTTTTTAAACAGTTACTGCTTGGAATAAATCTTTAAGGAGGGAATTTTCAGAAGTGCTCAGTATTGGCCTAACTTTGCTCTTACTGAAATCAATCATAAAATTTTCACAACTTCGGAAAAGGACTTTGCCTGTTTATATGTTTCCACAGCACTAAGCACAATATGTCTTGATCCTGGCTGGGGCCTTTTGACTGGTAATCTAATTGATTTATAGGAGATCAGTCAGATAAATGATGAGGAAACACACACATACATGTTAAATAGCTGGAGTTTTTAAATGATGCGTTATCAGTCCTTTGGAGCTTCATTATTTTTTTCTTTGAACTCTAATTTGCCTTTTTTTTATATTACTTTTATTTCCTTGCTTCTAATTTTCCCCAACATAATTCCATGCATCTGAAATTTCCAGCAAAGTCTCCAGTCAATAAAATTTAACTTTCTCTCCCATTTAGTTTTCACAATAAGCACATTAGTTTTGGGATCTGATTCATACTTTGTGTCAGCAGAATATAACTTCTCCTCTATTTCTGCAAAAACTGTGCTGATAAGAGTGATATGTAACCTACTTTATATTCCCAAGAATAACTACCTTTGCTGGACTGGGAAAGGGGAAGAAAGTGCATTTCTTTTATGGGTTTGAAAAATGGTTAGGTCTGCTTCTTTTCTTATTTCACATGATTCACACAAACATTAATTTATCCAGGGATTGACTTCAGAGGCAGTTATTTTACTTTCATATAGATGCCAACCTTAAAACTGTTTAAAATCATCTTGTTTTCTTCCAAACAGCTACAGCTAAGACCAAGACAAAACTACTGTTTATCCCTCAGTGTGAGATTTTAAAAGGTCAATACTGCAATGTCTTTCTCCCTGTTTTCTCCAAATAAAATGCTATGAGTTATTGCAATGGAGGCTGAGGTTCCACAGACAATTCTCTAGGCATTTTCCTAGCAGCTGCTATTCTCATCCCCTTGCCCCTGCTCCAGCCACTTCCTTGCAGCTCCCTCGCTGCTCCTCCAGTTGGACCTATACAGCTGGTTTTGGATCTGCGTGGTGAACCAGACTAGGATTAAATGCTTCTTCTCTTCCTTGAAAGTTGCCTTTTAACCTGGGCAGCTCACAGCCTGGTGATCCTGCACAGAGTGGTGTGAGGACAAGGGCTGGAGCAGCTCTGAGGAGCCAGATCTGCAGCCGGCAAAGACTACATCAAGATGTACCTGTGCCATGAGAAATAGTTCTGAACTGCCAAAAGCATTTTCAGCAGATCCCTCAGGAAAGCCAGAACAAGCACACATTACATTATAAAACTGGCAAAGGAGCAAACTTCAGAGAGTAGCCAAAGTTGTAAAATAGGCCAAGGAAGGAATCAGGTAATGATAACAGCTTGTTCATCTTCGTTACCAAAATTCAGGTTATGTTATCACTACTCCTATCCCACTATTTATTTTATAGTAAGCAATTCTAGTCTTTCAGATTAGCAAGCTATATATATATTTAGTGCTTTATTCTCAAACTGTTTCACCACAAATGACAGCTCACTTCACAAACAGCTTATCTTATGGCTAAAGATATATAAATACATACTAAAAATGCTGCTGAAAGTCTTGAATGTATAATGCAGCCTGGTAGACATGATAGTGATTGTAACACTGCATTGTAGACACAAATGTTAAAGAAACTTGGCAAGAATCAACACATTTTAGCTACTCAAAATTCAGATTTTCTCAGTCTTGTCCCCTTCTGATGAATGGAACATATGGGAGTATTGTTCATAAAACTTACATTGCTTTTCTCAATGTCTACCAAAAATCCTCATTATGACAATATTTACCAAGATACATATAGATTCAAATCTGAATTAATTATCCTGAAGTTTTCCTGTAGTCCCAGGTTTACTGGAAAAGAAAAATGCTTCAGAAGCAATGTGTTGTATTGAACAGTAGATGTTATAGCAACAGAGGTAGTGGAGGGCTTGCTGGGATAGGCAGCTATCCAGCTAAAAGCCATCAATGCTGTGTGAGATAAAAGACAGGGAAGAAAGTAGCTGCTTTGCCAAGAAGCATTTTGAAATCTGACATTATAAACAAAACACATGTAAACCTAGACATAAATCCTCTCTCATATGCTGAAGGCTCTGTAATATTTTAGCTAGCCTTATTACTTACAAAGAAACATTTCCTGAAACACAGCATCGCAACTGCAGAACAGCCTTTAACCTTGTGCTCATCCACTCAAAAACCATCTTATTTATTATCCTTTATCCCTTAATTATGGGGACTTCACCTACTGCTCTCCGCTCATTTGAAATGCAGAATAAAATACAATGGATGTCTGAAGACTTAACAGGTGTCAACCAGATATTTGCCAGCTAGCGCTACTATTCTACTGGGAGGAGCTGCTGTTCTATAAATACTAATTAGAGTTTTGCACATGATCTTGCTGAAATACCTAAGGTGATGAGTGGCCAGTTGTTACTTTTAAAAGATTAGCACAATTTGAGAAACTAATGTCCCCAATGAGGCAATGCGAACACTGAATAATCAAGACTTATAGCTGTTCTCTGCCCAAAGGGAATATTTGCTCACTTCATCATTTGGAAAATCTGCTGCCTCTCAAACAACTCACTCTTCTATTTCACTTTGAGAAACTTGTAAAACTTCCTGCAATCAATATAATGGTATGGTATATGTGCTCAAATGGTCTTCCACTGCCATGGCCACGTGGTAGGCTTTGCCAACACCTTTCAAAGACAGAGCTTTTAGTGTGAAATCGTGATTAAGAAACTGCAACAAAATTAGGCTGCACTTAAATGAAGCAGCAAAGAAAAATAAGATTACAGCAGAAACTGCATCAGCACCGCGAAAGTTCAATTTCCACAAATCAATCTCCCTTCCAATTCCTCACCTCCACAAAACAAAGCAAACAGACCCAGGCAAAACACAACAGGTCTCTATGGTATTTGTTACGCTTTTATACCTGTAGTAATTATTATGGAAAAAGCCCACCAGTTCTCTAAAATCTGGGTATAATATTTCTAAACAACCAGCTAACTTTAAGCAAAAATGCAGCCCCTACTTTGAAATATGGGTGCCACATATTTTGACCAGCTGATGTAACATGGTGTGACACAACGCTGCATTTCTACATCTGAGCTGTGATTCACTGCAGTGAAATTTGACTGATGCAACTGACACAACCCCACACTATTTAGTGTCAACATAGCTTGTCCACAAAAACACAAAAAACACAGAAAATGGGGAGAGGGATTTGGAACTTAATCTACTTAGTTCTTCTGACTCTATCCCTCTGGGAACGAATACTCAGTAAATCCATGACCATATGCAGGGAAAATAGAGGACAAAATTTTAATCAGAATTTATTTTTTGGGGGGGTTTGTTTTCAAAGCATAATATTTTTCTTTACCATGAAACCTGTTTTTTCCTCATCCTTCAGCATACTGCTTCCTCCTTTTTAGAGCTCATTACTGGAAATATTTGGCCTTACTTCAAAAAAAGAAGAATATGTCAACACCAGAACATCTGTGTCCACACAGTGTGCTTTGATGACAGTGATATACTCCATTTACATCAGTAACACGGAGCTGAACCTTGATGCTGACTGCATTTAAAGATCTTACCCCACAGGGCAAGAGAATACAGGTCAAAAACGTTGATCTGTGTTTGACACACTCTCTACTTCAAGAGCACTTGGCAGTGATTTGTTCCAGAGTCAAGAATCAAACTCACAAAACGTTGCGAAGCTCGGAGCCATGTCTGCATAACCACATTCGAAACAAACATTAAAATTCACAGTCTCTGGAGGCCAATCTACTTTTGATATGCAAGATTTTGTGAGAAATATGGTCAAATTCTATCCTGGATACAGAGGGAACTTTCTCGTTTAAATCAAAAGGGCCTAACTTGGGCTTGAGTGTCTGCTCTTAAGAGGAATAATGTACCTACATCCCTTGTATGCAAAAAGGAAAATAGACAGTTTATCACCCTAAACTCAAACCTGGTTATATAAAAAGAGGAGTGGAATAGCTGTGTGTGATACAGCATTGTTTCTATCAGCAAGGCTAGAGGGAACTGGGAGAATTTCAGTATGGATCACATGCCACCACAGGCAGGCACAATAATGATGAACTCCTCAAGTATTTGGTACAAAATAATTCAGAGATGAAGGACTGAGCACTGTAACAGAATATCTGGAGAGCATAGCTTCTGGTAATCTTCCTTTTAACTTGATTTTAAAATCTTTTCTGGTTTTTCATCTTTTTTTTGTCATTAATATATCATTTTCTCATTTAATTCTATTACATCCACTCACCTGCTATGCTGACTTACATCTTAATATAAGGTGGAGAGTTCCAGTGGTTTCCTTCCACAACTCTGAATCCTGAGCACCCTCATGTAAACCTCAGCACTTTCACAGCATAGAATGATTCAGTATTGCTTACAAGACTAATATACACAAAGCATCAAATGGGATCAAATTGATGCAGCTAGATATTGCCCTGTTCATGTTCAAGGACTACAGTTACCTGTATGCTGTATTAGCAACTGCAAGTACTAGTAAATACTTTTTCAGCAAACAGAGAAAGAGAAAATTTTGTTTACAGGTTTCAGTAGAATGCCATGGAAACAGATACAGAGGTAATTGTAAAAGGCACAATCCAAAGGGAAGACAGCTCTAATCGAAAGCATATACCCAAAAATAATGTATGTGTTTTCCCACCTGGAAAATGCATGGATAACTCCTATTAACATCAAGACAAAAAATTATACTGAGTAGACCCCGATATCACTAAGGTCCCTGATAAGGGTATGAATTAATGAGCACCTTCAAAGTACAGCAAGATGTTTTCATACACACACTATTAGAAAAAAAATAAAAATAGCTTAAAATGATCTTTTTAAAGAAAAACATTACAGCTAGAATTTCTGAAACAGTATTAAAGTATGGTAGTAGCCCTGTACAAGGAAGCTGCTCAGCACCTGCTGCCTACACTGTGCCTCGCTCCAGGCAATGTTATTCATTCCTCACTTTCATGGAGCAAAATACATCCCCTAAAAATATAAAACACAAAAATAAATAGATCTCCAGGGAAATGGAAGAGAAATCTGTTTTAAAAATAGCGAAGGAGCCTATATGTTCTAGAAAAGCCTATTTTGCATTGTTTTGTAAGATTTACACTTTAATTTGAAACCAAAGTAAGGCATAAAATTTGTATGAAAGCAATATCTGATTTATAGATAAACTTATACACAATATACTTAGCTGCAAATACCAGACCCCAGTGAGACAAGGAAAAGGTTTTGAAAGATTATTAAAGTATGCTTGATGAATGCGGCCCTGAAAAGCCCCAAAAGATTTTTCTGAAGTTAAATAGTAAACACAATTAACACGACTTCTGCTACAAAAAACACTAAACACAACGGATTTTTTTAATTAATTTTCAATGTTATTACATGTTTCTATTGAGCTGGAATTGACTCCATCCACTAACTGTACTCTCAGACAGCTCTTCTGTCCATAAGACCTTACCATCTAGATAAAAAAACAAATAGCCATTCTGCTGGTCATACGAAGAGGAAGCCATACAGTAACCATGATCTTATGACCACCGGAAGTTAACATCTTGTGGGTTAAAGTTTTGTGACAGTAGAAGTTTTTAAGAAAGATATATTTATGATGTTCAGATAATGTGCAGCTTCATCAAATGTATTACTAATTAACCAATAAAAAGGAGCAGGTGTAAAGGCTTACAAGAATACATTACTGTACACTTACAGCCTAACCTCACTATCCGTATTCAAACAAAACTCCTAGCTAAAGGCAAATCACATAATTCTTGGGAGTCCTGCATGCATTAGGACACCTTAGATTTACATATTATTATTCACAGTGCATGTTTCATTACATTTGCTTTGAGAAAATGTACTATCTATATGGGTATTCATGTGTTTCACATGGGCATGACTTTCTCAGTTGTCTATATTACGTAGCTTATGACCAGATTGTTTGGCTTTCTTCCTTGGATAAAGCAGCCAGCAGAGTGCTTCTTCACAAGGTCAACTCAGAAGGCAGAGCCTACATTCTTCCACTAAACTAACACCATCCAAAACAGGGAGAACAAATCCAAACAGCTTTTCAGAGCCAGTCCAGGCCCAGTCCCTCTCCCACATTGCTTGCAAGCTTTGTTTGGGAGACAGCTAGCGAAGACAGGCCAAAACTGGGCCAGGAACTGTCCTAACAGTTGTATGGTGAGGATGTCACTGAAAAATAACTTGCCCCAAGCCCTGACTGCTCAGTTTGCTTGAACAGACACTGCTTCAATCATGTCGTTTGAACCAAGGCACTACAACACACCATCACAGCAAGACTGGAATGGGTTGCCAGAGTTCATGCTGTCCATCTGCTCCAAAGAGAACCTGTCTTCACAACACTGCTCTTGCATAGAAGTTCTCTCCTACTGTTAATGAAAGCATGCACCTAAGCCATAAAGTTTTCACTACAAGAAACTGACAGATAAAACACTCTTATCTCACTAAGTTTTTGAAAGGATAACTTACCATTTTGGTCTGCTTGTGGATTTCACCATTGGAGCCATCCCATCTCTATAGAGGCTTTTTGTTTTACTGAAGTTGACAACATTGAAAATTACTCTCTGGAGGAGAGAAAAGAGAGAGGTCAGTTATAAATTACAGAAGAGTTTATATGAGACTGTGTATACCAGCTGCATAAAAATAACACAGAAAATATATGGAATACTTATGTATCTTATGAATTAGAGCTACTTTCCACAGATCTTGGATATCCACAGATATCTTTGGATATCCACAGAAAATGGGTATCCTGTCTGTTCCCAGTATTTTAACAGTCCATATCATTTTACGCTGCAGTGAATGGAATGTACATTTTGAATTTAGTATGCTGGTTTCTCAGTAAGCATTCTAAGCCGCACAATAAAATAGGTTACTCAGATCTAAAACAGAAAAGCCAACCCGGTTTGTTGCAGGTACTGTTAGAGAGGTTGATGGAAAGCTGGGATAGACAGAGTAGCAGACCTCATGAAAACCTTTCAGCTGCTTCACAGAATCATACAACAGAATCATAGAATCATTTAGGTTGGAAAATAACTTTAGGATCATCAAGTTCAATCACTCCAGCACTGTCAAGTCCACCACTAAAGGTTGTCCCCAAGCACCGCATTTATACATCTTTTAAATACCTCCAGGGATGGTGACTCAACCACTTCCCTGGCAGCCTGTTCCAATACCTGACAACCTGAAATTTTTCCCAATATCCAATCTGAGCCAATCCTGGCACAACATCCCTCTGTAAAGTCTTCCTACCCCCCAGCAGATCAACAGTATCAGCAACTTGGTGTCATCTGCAAATTTACTGAGGGTGCCCTTGATCCCTCAACCTGCATAGCAGCAGGAAAAACTAAAGTTTTCTCATTTTCTTTCCCCAAAGAAAGGAATATTTTTTTTTCACTTCCCTCTGCAAAAGGAAGAATTTTCCTCTACAAATCTGTACAGGATACCTACACAGTAGAAACCGCACATAGCCATCATTCATTTGAATATGATAGAGAAGAAGAAGAGTCAAATTCTGCTCTCAGTTTATACTAATAGCTTTGGGAAAACTAGCTGATATTTATCAGTTCAAAGGAAAAGCAAAATCTAGATCTTTGCTGCTAACGGACTGGTACTGAAAGTAAATTCATGCTGAATGAAGAAAAGAGAAAACAGAGACAAAACCCTCTTCCTCACCATCTGTCTGCTCTAAGTCATTTTATGCAAAATTAGTTATTCTGCTTCTCTTAAGAAAGTCTAGGTTGGATTTAGCTCATCTCATATAGTACATTTATTTTGCAGACTTTAAATCTAGTATACCTGGTTTGTCATATTTTTTTGATAACCAGCTTTAATGCACACATCAAACCAAAATGTGGAGACTAGTTTAATTTTGATATAATATAAAGGATATAGTAATATATTCCATTTTTACCTGTCTCTTCAAATTTCTTTTTCAGAGGTATCAGTGAAGACAGACCACTAAAAATAGCGGCCTAAGAATACCCTAAGTAGTCACACATTTGTTTTTAGAACAAACTATTGCATTGTTTACACTCCTGAATAATGGTTCCTGAGAAGCCTGAGAATTAAATAGCAACTGTTTGAAATCAGACAATTCTGACTAAAACAGTCACATCAATTAAGCTTTCATATGTAAAATTCTGCAAAAACAAATCTGGACCTTCCAGGCAGTCTGCTCAGACAAGAGTGATTTAGAACATTAAAGTGATAGCAATCAGCAGTGGGACACTTACAACAGGAGCCATGCATATTTACTCTCCTATGTGGGGCAGATAGGAATCCAGGTAAACCATCTACTTAATTATGTCTAAACTAAAGTTTTTCTGAGGAGAGGTAGTGTTGAAGAGTTTGTAAATGGAAGCACAAGATACTCTGTGTGCAAGCTCTGCAAATTAGCCAAAACAAAATCTAAGAATAAGCTGTCGGTTTTACTGAAACGGACTCAAAACCTAGCCAGTTAGAAAAACACTCCTTTAATGATGTTAACTCAGTTTTGTATCTACATTAATGAGCAAACTACATATCCCTATACATGAGTTTTCATTAATTCCGTCTATTGCAGCATTTTGAGGTTTCTAATGGTCATGAGTTTATTTTTGCAGCTCTTGCTGGAACCATGCATTTCATTTACAAAAGGTTGCATTTGTAATTTTAAGTATTTAGGATACTGCTTCTCTGATGAAATATCCATCTTGGGAGGCCTCTAGTTATTTTCCATCTTCGTACGTTTACAATGTATGGCTCAAAGTTAGAAAATGATATTTAGGTCTCTCTATTCCACACTCTACATGGAAATATTTTCCTGTATTAAAATGCTGAGTTTCTCCTCTGTTACTTAACTCTGTTCATATTTGTGAAAACAAATTAGGTTGCAACAAATTGGTTTGTTAATCTCGATGTTTGCATGGAGTGAATGAAACAAACAAGATCTCTCCAAACCAATTGCATTAAACTTTGGATGCAGTCGTGTCACTGTTGGAAAGAGAAAGTTGCTAATTTTGTTCCATACTGACTCAGAGCAGACAGCTGGTAGAGAATGTTCTTATTCCAATCAAGCTTATTTTGTATAATGAGTTGGGCAAATGTACACAACTGGGTAAGCAACGTATATAAAAACAAAAATATGCAGCTCATTTAACAAAACAGTGCAGATTATAACATTTCTACCACTCCTGTTCAGCACGGAGCAAGCAGTTAGCAATGCGTGCAGTTCTCGCAGCATGGAATAGAGCTAGATTGGCAGAACCAAAAATTTAACAGCACAGAACAGAACTTTATCAACATACACCACTGAAGTAATAAAGTACACAAACTGAAGCACTCAAATAAGCAGCTGAACTCAGTCAAGTATTCCTGGTGATAGTTAAAGCAGTCCATGCAGCTCAGCCAGTGGAGTGTGCGAAAATGTAATGACTACAGTATACACACCTTAGCCAGGAAAATATGCAGCTTGCTCAATAATGTATGCAAGCATCTTTGAACTGAAGGCTAGAATAAAAAGGTTGTGATACAGCATCAAGGTTTTGCTGAACGAATATCTTTTTTGGTCTAATTTTGGTCTCTACTGACGCTCTCTAACACACCAGTTATACACCGTAACGAGGAAAAGAACTAGATATACACTATGCACATGAAAACATGTTTCTGTAGGAAAATTATCACTATTGTGTATGTGTTTATGAATTCTAGAGATGTGCAATGGGTGGCATTTTATAAGCAATATGATTCAGATATTCAAAAATGAAAAAAGACCTATCAACTTTTATTTATTTTTTTAAAGAAGTGCCAACTTAAGAAAATAAAACTAGATTCAATGCACTTACAGATTCCTTAGAAATTGCCCTGGTTTCCAGAGCATCAATCCAGAGGAAAATGGCAGAAATCTTTCCAATAAAAATACTTGTATTCATTTTGTAGGGTATGAACAGCACTAAAAGAAGCAATATTCAAACTGACGCTGTACCAGAAATGATAATTGTATGATTTCACTTCAGTTATGGTACATTATCAATCCACTGCATTATTCTGACAAACTGATCTGCAACTTCTGGGTCAGTGGAAGAGGCATGGTGTAAAACAGCCTCCAGGTACACCACCGAGTAAAACCCTGCTATCTGGGGGGTGTGCAAGGATGTATTGTGGCTTGGAACTAGATGATCTTTAAGGTCCCTTCCAACTCTAACCATTCCATGATTCTGTGATTCATCTTATGGAGGAAGAGGACTGCTGCAGACTCAGGCTTCATGTATAGACTGCATGTTGGGGAACATGAGACAAGGCAGGGATATTCTGCCTTCTGAGAGAAGATGGAAGATGTTCTCTTTCCAAATGTGCAGTAAGTATGCATTTGGAAGTATCTTGCTGCTAAAACCATTAAGAGGGAAAAGTGAGGAAAGGCTTGGTCCTGCCTTTAGACTTAAAATTTACTGATTAAATCTGCTTTTCCCAATAGACCTTTGCAAACTTACTTCTGGAATTAAAAACACAAACAGATGTTAAGGGATGCTCAGTGGTTTTAGCATGAGCAAGATAAAGATGAACCTTGAACATAAGGGGAAAAAATGGCTTAAATGTGTCACACAATTCATCTTATTGCCAGAAGTCTGCAGTTGCCTGACTGAGGCTAGAAGGAGCTGATAGGTATTTGTGGGGCAACCACACATCAAGGTGATTTTGGAACGGAGCTGAAGGCATTGAGCATGAATAGTCATATTGCACATCACATTCCAACAGGTCTGTGTGAGCACAGGGTGAACTCTGATCCCTTAAACGTTCATTGTTCACCCGCATTCTGGCAAGTTTTCCACCTGAACCTACCAACTGAAGCACATACATCCAAAAAAAGAGCCACATCTTTGCCAAAGGTTAAGTGCCTTCCCCCAGCATAAGAACACACCAGATCCCTTCAAAAAGACTGCCAGGTTTATTTTGTGTGGTTTTCCCTAGACGACTTTTCAGGAATAGCTGAGCTGCCTTGACTGACATTAAAAGACACAAAAAAAACCAACAAACAAACCGAAGAACACCACAAAATTCTGCCTGAGGCAGACACCTGGCACAGAAAATTTTGTGTCAAATCACTAAGTATGAGAAGTTATAACTAACTGAAAATAGGGTTTGCAGTAGGAAGTGTCAGCATCCTTAATACCGATGTAACGTACACATATTAAATACTAACAATTATATAATAAAGTAATAGCATAATATTGTAAATTCAGTGGACACTCCTGCATGCGACAAGTATGACACAAACTTCACTATGAGCTGACAAAGTACATGGGGACCAATTGTTTGAAGTCAGGCAGAACTAATTTCACCATTTAACCATCCACAATAAGAGGACTGGTCACTAAGTAGTAATGCTGAGGCCTGTTGAAATTAAGTCTGAGCTTTTGTGCTCTGACACCATTAGAGAGCCAAAGCTCTGGGATACCATGGTGCTTTGCTTTGCTTCGCTTCCACTGCTGGATGTGTTGATTTCATCTCCTGCTGATTCTTTAGATATTACAGCGTTTTGTGAATTCCTGAAACCTACACCTTTTTGTGAGCTGGTGCGCTGGTG